GATATGACTAGGAAAGACCAATGTTTGAAATTTTTCTAGTTATCAACGTCAACATCAAACACTTTCTTCCGCTCTGCTCTAGCATAAGCACTTATTATGCTGAATAAGTTGGAAAAAAACTTCAATGATGGGCCCCACCCTTGTATTCACACCAATATTGAAACACATTCACACACGACTAACTCACCAGATGTTCTTGAGAAGGGTTTAACAATTCCACTTTGAAGTCGTTGAAGGGGAGCTTAAATCACAGTCTAGAAAATAAACACTCATGGAAAGGCAAAGATCACGAACTACATAACCCCTTGTTGGATTCAATATGAAAGATCGAATAATTAAAGACGATTCCACGTCATGGTGATCACTTTTCATTCTATTGGCATTGCCAAACATGAAGTTCTCCCCACCACTTCTACGTCTATATAATAATATTGAGCATCATCCATAAGAAACTTGAGGCATTGCAAGTCCTTTTGAACCATCCCCTCCCTAATGTCAACCAAAATAAAATATTCATCATGAGTTCTAGAATACCTCCACAAGTAAATATGTTGCCTATAGTCCTTTTTAATGGGTTCCTGACCATTCAAGGACCTAAAAGATTTGATATGGAAACGAGCCACCGTGGGCAATTAAGAAAAAGGGGAGCCATGGCTAGTTCCCCATGTATTGGGATGAACCAAAAGATGGATTTATGGGCTCACTACCACTTCATAGAACCTCTAGACTCGAAACTATCACTAAGTACTACGCTAATTGCAATGGAATGAATAATTGCCAAAGGAGCAACATCCAACACCACTTTATTTACAATAGAACCATTTTATGTAATTTTACTTTTATGATAATGCGTGTCATTTCCATACTTGCTATTGGTTTGAGTTGTAGTTGGTTTTCAGATTCTTTTTATCATAAATAGGGTAAACTAGATTAAGACTCGCTCGATGCGTGGATGCTGTAAATTACTTTGTTCATTTTATTATTGAATTTTAAATATGTTAAGAGTTGATTTTGACAAAATATGATTACTAAATTTATATTACAAACTTTTTTTGTGAATTATAATAGAGATAATAATATAAATTAATCACATAGACAAATATACATTTTATTTTTAAAAAAAATACATGCGTCTAAATTGAGAGTGATCTTCATAATTTAGGTTTGCAAACTTACATATTATAAAGTGATTTATTTATTTTATTTTGATTCTCATGTTTTATTTTGCACTTATCTTTTATTTAGATATTTTACTTTAATTTGTTAAATATATATTTATTTTTAGTGTTAAATAAAATTATAATTTTATTTATAATTATTATCAAATAAAACTTCAATAACTTTATAAAGTTTATGTCTATTTTGTCGAATTTTATAAGATTATTGCATATTGTATATTATTTTTTAAGATTAATTTAAAATGACTTATATTTGAAAATTGTGTAAAACTACTTTAAGATTAAAAATATTTATTTCAAGTGTTATTTTTATTGCTATAATAATTTCATAAAAATAAAAAATATTTTATTGTGTTTGGATTTTGACATCTCTTTTATTTATGAAATTTGAGAGAAATATTCTTAAAATAAGAGAATATACATAGTTGAAGTAATGATTGGTTTGATGGACCATTTTGTCTAAAATAAGATTAAAAATATTTTATTGTGTTTGAATTCTCTTATCTCTTTTGTGTAATATTTTGTTATTTGTCATTAGTTTTCAAAATGATATTGTATTTCGTCTTTGGAAGGGTTCGAACTCGTGACCTTCAATTTGAAGAAGTATAAGATGAAAAAATGAATTTTAGAATGTGCCACATAGGACTATAGGATGATGTGTCAAATTTATATTTATATTTGATGATGTATTAGAGTTATAATTGATGATGTGTTATTATATTATTTGATGTATTGGTCTTAATATATTATATAGATTGCTTATGTAGTACATTTTATGTTTAATATGTTTAATGAAGTTATTTATAAAATACAAATTCCCTTTTATGATCTCTATTTTTTTAAAATTAAAAATAGGCATATGATAGATGTTATGGGTCGACTATATCTATTTTTCGGCTGGCCACTCTCAAGGAGGTATAGTCCTTCCAGAACCTTCTCAACACGTGGAAACTACTCTAGAAGTAAAGGTAGAGGATTTAGACTCCTAATGCATCTACCGAATCTCTGCAATCCACTCCTAACAAATATCAAGTTTGTTATTTCATCTCCATTATATATATTGAACTCGTCATTTCAGGTATTCAATTTCAAATTCAATTTCAAATTCAATTTCAATTTGTTCTTCTCTCTCACATACTGACTTGAGTGTTGGGGTACTAACCTTGCAGGTCAACTCCTTCTCCACCGTATCAGAAGCAAAGATCCAATGTTACATTTGATAATACTTTATTTTTGGTTCCAAAATAAAAAATGGCAGCGTATACAGGAAACGACTTCTGATTCCTATATTTTCCATGATTCGCTCTTCGATTCACATCAAAACCTTCTCAGATCAATGAATCAAGAGCACTTGAAATTGAACATGATGATTCATCATGTTTGATCCAATCAAGTATCATTTTAACTTTTATTTTCTAAATTTCCAGATCTCTGATCCCTGCGCTTCTAATTCTAAGTAATGGTTGGATCCAAAGCTACTCATTTTGATGATGTGCAAGAAGTCGTTGCCGCATTCACAACTCAAGCAACGATCAATCAATCACCTCCTCTACAAGGCGTTAGGAATCAAGGAGAAGAGGTTTCATTACATCGAGATAGAAACCTCAGATAGCTAGATCTATCCAAATGCCTCTGATTGGACCTCCAATTTCACCTCCAATTTCATAACCTGAACCTTAATTAGTTTCAGAATACTGTGAGATAACCTTGGATTTCAAGGTGCCAACGAGTTGTTGAACACCCTATACAACATAATTCGATAACAGAATTTGCAAGCAATAGAGCATAGGTTGCTTTGCCTCGAAGAAAGTCTTCATAATGCGTCTCCACGAGGGAACACCATTCAAGAGGCTATATCTAGGAGGACTCAAACATTTGTCCTTAAGCTGATTGCTATCGCACGTGTATGTGAAAATGTAGCAGTAAAAATTTGAGACTAAGTCATTATTGACTTAACTCAATATCAATGAATGTCGCCACCGTATTTTATTGTTTCCAAAGGGAAATGGGAAAAAAAGAACATAACCCAAAATAAAATAGAATAGAGATCAATGTACGGAGGTTGGTTATGTAAAAAGAATGTATTAGCACCCTAAGCATCTACGGTACTCCGCATGATCTAATTTTTTTTTGTTTTAATCAGAGAGTGTGTTATCTAGAGATTTATTTGCTAAAGGAAATGAATGAAAGAGTATTTACAAACAAAAGAAATATTTTTTATTATTGCGCCTGTCGCAGTTGCGAACATTTATGCCTACGTACCCCCTTCGTGCATTAAGGGATCAGGCACTCGTAGTTCTTCCCAAAAAGAACAAAATTGTGATGTGTTGATTGATTTTAAATGAAGAGACAAGTCGTCATGTTTAATGAGAAAACTCGTATAATCGCCCACAAGGTATGAGAAAGAAAGAATATGCACCAACATGAGGAGGGTTTGGAAACGCCTGACACTCAAGTGGAAAAGTCGACAACCATGGAGATAGAGGAATAACATCTCAATTATAAATGAATCATGTCTAATATGGGAAAAAAAGTTTTAAAGGATAAAAGGTGTTCGAACGCACAAAAATGTTTGAATGAGGTTAAATATTTTTTTGTCTTTTTGAAAAGTTTAGAATATGCTTATATGGTTTAGCATTTATTAAGAAAAGAAGTTTAAAAATGGCACTTGACAAAGTCAAGGTTTATTATGAAAGCGGTTCGAATTTAGAAAACAAAGAAAAAATATGATAAGGTTTTGAAAATTGAAGAATGGGAGGAGATGAAGAGAGTATCCTATGTACAGGAAAGTAAAAGGTAGGTAAAGAAGGTATGACCAAACGAAAGCTCATAATTGATATAAAGAAGTCAATATAGCGTTCACATCCCTTTAGATTTAAAGTCACAAACAGATAAATAAGCCAAGAGTATATCAAACCTCAGGTGAAAATAAATCACAGACAGACAGTATCAGAGAAACCCAATGCGTCAAATAATACTCAAAGCAACAGATAAAGCGCACCAGGTGAAAATAAATCACAAGACGGGAAGTTACACGAAATAAGCTCAAGGTATCAGATAAAGCGTAAAGTATCATCAAGATATCAGATAAAAGTCACTATATCAGACAAACGAAACCAGTATAGTGGAGAAGCAATCCAGACATCTCAATGTGAAATAAAGAATCAATCCGAGTGGATTATAAACCTGTACCAAATCTAAAACGAAACAAAGGAAATATAGAATTGATTCTTAATTAATTAACTTAAAAGATTGATTAATTTAATTAATTAAGTTAAGATAAATTAATTAGCTAAAATTAATCAATTTTTAATAACGAAATTAAATAACTAAATCGAATTTTAGTTAATTAACTAAAGCAACAAAGTAATGCTAAGATGAAATTAAAGTTTAATCAATTAATCAAGAGTTGATTAATTTAATTAATCGAGTTAAGAAAAATAAATTAGTAAACTAATCTATTTTTAATAACAAAATCAACTAAAATCAAGCTCTTATCCAATTCAAGTTCATGATATGAAAAATCAAGCTCAAAGCAAGCTAAAATCAACGGAACCAAATACCGAACAGCAACTATGTAGTCCTAATAACGCTCAATAAAACTCATCTCAAACGAGTGTTTCACGCACGCGGGATACACAACATTACCCTATCCGAAATGTCTCATTTGAATTCAAACAAATGTAACCAAACATCAACAAAACTCTTCAAATTGAATTGAATAAACATGACACAACCTTCACATCAAATTCAAGATTTAAACAATTAAATCGAATTTCGGACAGCCACTAGAACAAGAACAAATTGACGCTCAAAACTCATCTCAATCATGGGAACATCGAAACAAATCCATAACCGAGTAAATCTTTCAAATTCCAACCAAATTTCCCAAAACGACATTAGTATCTCGTTTACAAAGGTTCAAGCAATAAGAGACAATAATAAAACCTCACTTAAAATTAATGCCGTTACAAATTCAACCTTTCGAAAACAAATCGAGAAACGTGTACTTTTCAACTCAAATTCAAAGCAACAATACAAAACAAACCGGCTGCCCAAATGGTTTCTCGGTCATATCCTACGCGAATAAACGTGATGATATTAAACCATCATCGAAACTAAAAGAAATTCCTCATCACAAATTCAAGTGAAAGTAAAGCGAAAAAACTTTAACCTGATATAGATTTCAAATTCCAACGCAAACAAAACATAACGTTTCCACACAACATATCCACTGCAACATCAAAACGAATAACACTAACGAGCGCTTACCATTCGCAGTCGTAACACAAAATCCAACAAAACTTTGACACGATTAGATGCGGACAGCAACATTAAATCACAATCGAATCACACTTTCTTTAGAATTTATCACAAGTTTCAGCATAACACAACAAAATGTTTTCCGATTTCGCAGCATAACATTCCCAACTCAAATGAGAAACGGATAAAATCAGTATTGTCATTAGAAAATAACACAAACATGGATTATCGCGAGTGGGAGTATACGATGGATTATCGCGGATTGAGCTGGCTTGTGTTGTTTTGAATGGAGGGTGGGAGTATGTGCTTGGTAGTTGATGTATGAAGATGAAGGGTTGTGGTTTGATGAAGATGGGTTGAAGTGTATGTTGAGTTATTGTGAGCGAAGGGTGATGATGAACGACGAAGGTAGCAGGTAGTTGATGAAATTGGAACTTGGGGAGTATTGAAGGCAAGCGAAAATTTGAAGAGGAAATGGATTCTCAGATTTTGATCTGCCTCTGCGTTTTGCAATTTGATTCCCTTCCCATAATCACGATCCCTTTCCTTGTTTATAACAAACCAAACAAACCTTATCTTCTTTAGGTATTACCAAATGACCAAAAAAAACCTTGATAGATATTTTCTATACTATCAACCTTATAATATAAACAAAAACTAAATAATTAAATTAAAAGATAAAAAACAATTTTTTAATTATACACTTTTTTTTATATACAATTTTTTTTATAACTAAACTAAAATTAAACTAATAAAAGAAAACACATATTTTTATATATTTTCTTAATTATAAAATAAGGAACGGAAAAATAAAATTTAAGAGAAAAATCATATAAAATTGAAATTGAAATAAAACGATGTAAAATGTGCGTACAATATATTGATGCGAATGAACATTAAATTTTATAATTTTGGATATAAACAAATGCGAATGAGAAAAATTTAGGGTAAAATTTGGGGTGCAACAATGGCGATGAAAAAAGATAAAGTTCCTAAGTCAAAGAATCAACAGAGGAACAAGAAATGTCAAAGTCCTCCCCAAAGCCACGAGGGAGACTAAGGCAGCCACACTCCTCTCTCGGATTAGGCAGAAAGTCCGTCATCGAAGAATCAGCTGAAGTATCCTTTTTGCTCTCTGATATTGGACGGAAAAATACCAAAATTCATGGAGAAGCCTCCCAAGCTAAGCGGATATAATGGAAAGTGAGATCTGAATGAACACGTGTAACTGGTCAATGATCAGTTGAACTACTTAAGTGTTGACAAAGCCTCCAAATGCAAGTTTTTCACATTAAATTTGGTTGGACTGACTAGGCTATGGCTTAATGGGCTGATAGATGGGTGTATTGAATTATGGACAGATTTTTGCGAATGATTTTTCGCATATTTTATCGTCCGAAAAAGGAAGCATGTGAAAGTATCTTCTTTGAGCGATTTGTTCAAGGAAAGAAGGAAAGCATGTGGTCTTATATCGACTGATTTACATAAGTTGTTGTTGAAGTGGAGGGAGTCGAAGAAGCCTTAAGTGTTGGATCTTCGAGAATGTTCTTCTCTAGGGTCGTCCTTTCAGGTTGAAGATAGGAAGGAAAGAGTATGAACTTTTCAGGAAATGCTAAGTATGGCTCAATCTTACACGATCTTAGAGGAGAAAACTGAACACACGGTTTGACAATCCCACTTCCACCGAAACCAATTATAATTACTCGACCGAGAAGGAATCCAATCTTCAGAAGGATGAGTCTGGTCGAGGTATGCATGGATGCTACAATAAGTACACGCTACTGAATGTATCTCGAGAGAAGATCTACCAAGTCTATGCCAACACAGAGTTCCAAAAAGAAGGTTTTAGACCTCATTATTATCCCATCAGAGAGTCATCGTGAACTGACAAGTCGAAATACTATTGCTTCCACAAAGGACATGGCCACAAGATCGATGGCAGCATCCAGCTGAAGGATGCTATTAAGGGGTTGATCAAGAGAGACTAGTTGGTTGAGTACATGAAAGAGGGAAAAGATAAAGGGAATAGTCCCCTAAAGGTAAATCTCCCTTGAATACCACCAACGTAGGAACCAATGGTGAGGTTAAAGAATCCAGCAAGGTGAAATGCTTGTATTTCATCGCCATCACTAGAGGAGTTCCCCAGGAAAACAAACCCTCCAAGGGAACCATGAAAAGAAAAATTGCAGATATGTTAGTTGTCCACAAAAAATATGGGAGTTTATTGATGAAAATCCTTGACCGACCTATGTTAGGGTTCTGGAACTCTAAGTAGGCGGGCAGTACTCCTACTTAAATCTTTCCTTTGGTGATTATAGTTATAGTCGGGTAGTTTGATGTCTCTCGAATCTTGATCGACTGTGACATCTATTGTGATATCATATACTCAAATCTATTTGAAAAAATGGTCCTGGAAAAAGGAAGCTTATGGTTGTATGAAGGTTTAGACCTGCAGGCCTTCAACGAGACAACCAATCATTTGTGGGGGTATGTTGAGTTGATGATATCAGTAGGCAAAGGGAAGGAAATCGGAACATCCAATGCATAATTCCTCATCATCCATTGGAGGAGAGTCTACAATTTATAATGGGGAGACCCTTCACTGCCACCTTGGACACCATAACCTCTCTGGTGCACCTTAAACTCAAATATCATAACCTTCAGGAGGAGCTGATCACCCTCAATGTCGATCTTGAAGGGGCCAAGAGAATCTATAAAGCTCTTCAACGAGACAAAAGTGAGGATAATACGCTGGAGATCAATGTGGCTTCCCTAACTGACTAGCTCAAAAGCACGGGCATTCGTTGCCCAAGAAGTGGCTAAGAAAACGATAAGCAAACATGGAGAATATACAACGGCTAATCCACCTAGTTATATATTCTTTCCTATTTATATTAAATGTTATGTTTGTATAACCACTTTCCTTATACACATAAGTAATTCTCAATATGAATGAAGTATTACAAATTCTGAGATATTCATTTCTTTGTGATTATGTACAATAATTGTGAGTTCGGGTACGAACGACGAGATTAAGGTCTGACACAAATAATTTATGGGTGTTGTCGCAAACGCCTCGCGCGTGTGACTACAATAATCAATTCCCCATAATCATGGGTGTTGTTGCAAATGCCTCACGCTTGCGAATATAATAACCAATTCCTTACAACGCAAAGCACACATAAAGAAATGTAAGGGTGTTGTCACAAATGCCTCGCATGTGTAACTAAATCAATCAATTCTCCGCAGTCAAAGCTGTTGTCGCAAACGCCTCACACAGGCAACTAAAATAATCAATTCCCCACATGCAATAACCATTTACCCCATCTTTGGCAGTTAGCCACTCCAAAGGCCATGGTAGGTTAGCCACATGTCTACCTTGGATCGGTTTTTCACGTAGGCAGGGGAAGGCCAACCAACCTTTGGTTGGGAACGACCCTAGTGGCATCCAATAAATTTTGAGGCAAGACCTCATAAGTTTGCATGAAATCTAAATCTTTTCACTCGGGATCACACAAATATACCCCATGCAGGTAAAACAACACTTCTTACAAAAATATACACGTATATGTTTCTATTACAAAGGTATTTTACATACAATACATAAAAAAGAGTGATAGGGCTACCCCAGAAAGGAGACGACCTCCCCATTTTTGAGCATTTGATTCGGTTGAACCTTCTCCCTGGAGATACACAGAGGATGGTGGAAATGCTCCTCAAGAATCGTATGCTAGCATGAAAAAAGAAGTAGAAAGAGAAAATAGATTATATCCAACACTTAAAATCACTCAATGCAACACTCAAGTGCTCAATTTCCCAAGGGTCATAATGAGGATACCTCCCAAAAGACGATTGAGATAACGAGCATTAAACACTACTACGGAAAATCCATTTCACAACGATTGGAAAACACATATAATCATGCGGGTGTTGGCTCCTAAATTCAACACCCTTGTTTTATTAATGTCAGCCATTAAAGCTGAAGGATGTTTTCGACTAGCTAGGTCTGTCGAAATGCCCGTCGAAAGATGGCAAGGTACTTAGAAGATTTCTTCCAAGGGAGAAGTTGGTTGCCTTCGACGTCGAAGGTGTTTCTCGTCGAAGATGCTTCTCGACGAAAGTGTTCGATGGTTCAGAGTGGAACAGTTTGAAATTCAAGCGTTTGGAGGGAAAACGGTTTCCAGCGGTTACCAAGTGCAACGTGCAAAGATCTGGAGCGTCGAACGTTGAGAACGTGCCAAGTGGACTCATCTCGAAGCAGTGTAACTGCCCGACGGTTACTTGGGATGTTTTAGTATAAATAGTAGTAGTCATGTAGTTTCTCAGGTGTGTTCACAATTCTATACAAAGTCACTCATATAGATTCGAGTACCCAGCGTGTGAGAAAGAATTGTTGAGAAATGTATGTGTGAAACACCAACTTTATTAATCAAAGTCATTTACTTTTCCAGAAATTTACTTGCTTTTTTCTTTACATTCCTGTCGAAGCCCTTTCATTTAAAGCCTTATTTATTTTACCAAGTCCTTTCTTCATGCAATTTACTTAAAGCCTCTTTATTTTATTGTCACTTAACCCATAGCCAATTTAATCAAAACTTCAAAATCAACCTATGTCCTAGGATCAATCTGATCGATCCTGCGAGTAACCAAATAAGTAACCATTTGGAGGATCAGCGGTTGTTTACCAAATACCAAGGTAAACAAATTGGCACACCTGGTGGGACTGTGTGTTGATTGTTGAAAATTATCTCATCTTTTCGAGGAGTGTTGTATGTTATTGAGAAGTGGTAGAATATACACTAACGATAACGATACTGCCAGAAGAAGGAAAGAGATGGCGAATCCGCCAAACAATAACGAAATCCCACAAACGAATGTGGGAACAACAGTTAGTACGACCGTAAGTGAAGCGACAACTGTTGGTTCGACACCAGCAGTAACGGTCACAGCAACGGGGCCATTACTTTCGTTCACAGGCCCCAGAGCGCCTTTGGGAACTCCCCCACCAAGGGGAAATTTAGGCACAAGGCCTTTTGTTCCCCCAGGATTCATGCCACTCTATGGCATGCCAACTTCTGACTTGGCTAGCCTGACGAATGCTGCGTCCACTTTTTCAGACCCTTTAGTGAGTGCCTCTTCGCCACTCCAAGGTTCTGGAGTAGGCATGGCGAATAGAAATAGGACCCAACTCTTAGGAGGAACGTCCCAAGTAGCCCATGGCCTTACAAATGCCTCGACAGCAGTCTTGAGGCAACAAATGGACGAAAGCAACCATGATATGGTGCAAATGTTGGCACAAACTTTGAGTACAGTGCTAAACCCTCTAATACAGAACACTACTCAATCGAATCAGCAAGTGACAGCGCAAATGACGCGTTTGGCTGATTTCTTTGGAGTACCCCAACCTATTCGACAGCCCCAAAGGGCGCAAATAAGGGGAAACCAGGGGATATTCTTAGAGGAAGAAACCACCATCAATCAGGCTCAGCAGCCTGTCGAAGAAAACCTTAGGGCACGATTGGAGCAACCCGTCGAGGAACCTAGGGTAATAACTCCTGAGGTAAGGTTAGTTAACAGAAACC